CCGGTTCCGATGGAGTTTTGAAACCATCACTGTTCTGATTGTTCTCCACATGGCACTATCAAGATAGAACAATTATTTACATTTCTGATAGAGACTAAAAACAAATGTAGGCACCCAAACTGATCATTCCTTGAATGATAATTGATTATCAAACCAGCAGCGGAGCTTACATAATCACTAGTACTCCCTCCGTTCCTAAATATTTGTCTTTTTAGAGATTTCAAATGGACTACCACATACGGATGTATGTAGACATATTTTAAAGTTTGGATTCACTCATTTTGCTTCGTACGTAGTCACTTGTTGAAATCTCTAAAAAGACAAATATTTATGAATAGAGGGAGTATTTGCAACCATGCATGGGTGCAAGTTCTTCCAAGACCACTGAAATTATGTTCATTAGACAAAGGGAGGAGAGAAAAGAATCAAGTTCTCTCAACCAAAGTGCAAAAAATCCTCACAAAAACAAGAAAAGGGTCACAAGAACAGCTCTAGCTAACAAACTAAGCTAGACAGGAGGCGCACATTTCGCCAACCAAATCCATCCTCGGTGTCGGTGCCCCCTGAGGCTGCTGCAGCAAATCCGGAGCTATCATCCCCTGGAAGACGTCCTCCTCCAAGAAGCTCAGGAATCCCCCGGGGTTGAGATCCATCCACAGCTCGCTGAAATCGAGATCACCGCCGACGCCGCAGCCGAACCCTCCTTCCTCCACGTTCACCACCTCGCACTTGATCTTCTTCCTCCTCCCGTTCTCCTGTTGCACAACGAAATCGTCGGCTAGCCTTTCTTCTGCGGCTGTGGCTTCTCCTCTAATGGGGACGGCGGCGTTGGCGCCACGCCCACCGTCACTGCCTTGCTGTTGTCATCGTCGTCCGCCCTGGCATCGGCGGTCTGGTGGTGGTGCCTCCCGGTGAGGCGCTGCACGAGGTCCCGGAAGTTGGCGGCGTCGGTCTTGATGATCTCCGGCGCGATGATGTGGATGATCCTTATCGCCGGTCGCGTTGTGGCGGCCCTGGGCACCGTCGCGTGGCGCGAGGGCCCCCTGCGCTGCTGCACAGGCGCCGTCGACGGGCTCATGCCACCGCTGCTGTGGTCGTACGCGTGGTCCTCCATTAGAGATGGATGTAGAGGCCGGAGTAGAGCTCGGAGGCGTAGAGGTAGAGAGCCTTGTGTTTCTCTTGAGGGAGACGAGAGACTTTAGTTTTATCGAGGGAGGGTGACCTTGCTATGCTAGGAATGATCGATGATGAGATGAGAAGGGCGAGGAGGAGGCGTGGAGGCATATATGGCGGAGGCGGGAGGAAGGGAAGGGGGTGACTTGCAACTTGTCGTGACGATGGCGACGGTGACGAGGAAGGCTTGAAATATCGATGAAGGGACGTCGCCAACAGTGTGTTCTCGTACAACTTTGTACTACTTTTAGTATATCGCATTGTCTGCCCATCGATCGCCGGCCGTGTGGATTTTTCTTGGGTTGTTGCGGGTGATCGTATTGCCTTGTAAGTTTGCGACGCGTGCTAGGTACCATCACCTCGATAGAAAGTTGATATCTTCCGTCGATGATCCACTAGCTGTGCTTGTCTTGCTTGACTATCTGGTTAGCGCGCGCACACATACATACATCTTTTGGAAATAAACCTGACCCCACGAGCAGTTGGTAAGTAAACGCGGGAGGCACTAAAAAGAGAAGGAGGTTGGTTGACTAGACTTGACCCATGGGTCATGGGTGGACGACGCCACTTTAGCTATATATCAGTCAGCTGAAAATTCTTATTTGGGTCAATCGATTTTGTGGCCACCCGATTCTGCTTTGAGATGTGTGATGTTTTCTTTTTTTTTTCTGTGTCATTTTGGGGGTGAGTTGGGCTGTGTGGAATCGTTTGGGGAGCTCCTAGTCAGCGCCTTCAGCGCCGCGCAACGTAACTGGCGCTCGCAACAACCTCTGGGTGGGCCGGCCCACGACGGCGCACGGCGAAAAAAACCCCGCAAAAAATTGCTGCGCACGGGATTCGATCTCGCGTCAACACGCTTACGTTCAGCGGCTTTGACCACTCGACCAACTACAGCTACAAGTGACAGCTTACACGCTTAGTCGATATGCTATTTATCACATAACGTTTAGATGTTTCAATTATTTCAAAACATGTTCACATATTTCAAATGAAGTTCACGAACATGCAAAAACAGTTCGCGCATTCAAAAAAAAGTTCACCAAAATCAAAAAAGTTCACGAGTTCAAAAAGGTTCATTTTATACAAAAAATATTCAATATATTTGGTAAACTCAAAAAGAGTTTATGAGTTTAAAAAAATCATCAATTTTAAAAAAAGTTCATCGAATATGAAAAAGGTTCATTGAATTGGAAACAAGTTCATCAGATTTGAAATAAAGTTCATCGGATATGAAAATAGTTCATTGAATCCGAAAGAAGTTCATCGGATTTGAAAAAAGTTCATCGAGTTTGGAAATAGTTCATCCAAAATGAAAAAAAGTTCATCAAATTAGAAAAAAAAAAGTTCATGATTTTCAAAAACATTACATCGAAAAATGAAAAAGTTCATCGATTTGAAGAAAAAAGTTCATCATTAATTGAAAAAACTTCAGAAATTTGAAGAAAAACTCATCATATAAAGAAGAAGAAAAATGGAAAAAAGGAAAAGAGGAGCAAAAAAATAATGTTTTTTTGAGGGAGCAAAGAAAACAACTGAAAGGATTGAAACTACCGAATCTGTCTAATTGGCCTAGTGGTTAGCGCATTATTCCACCAAACCGGAGGTCACGGGATCGAGGGATTTCCTATTTGGCGCTGCAGGCGCCGGTTCCTACTGTTTTTGCTAACCGGCGCCTGCAGCAGCTACTCGCGGGCCGGCCCATATCGCGCCCCGTTTTTCTGTGGAAACGCAAAAAAGAGTACATGCGCGCGTGATGAGAACCGAACTCAGGACGTCATGGATAGAACCACGCGGCAATAACCACCGCGCCAACATACACGATGTGATATCTTCTTCTTCCCACATTTCTTATTTCTTCTTGCCTTTTTTCCTTTTTTCCTTTTTTCTGTTTCTGTTTCCCCCCTTTTTTTTTCATTCCTGGTTTGATGGTTTCTTTCAAATTAGTGAACTTTTCTTAAAATGGATGAACTTTTTTCTCAAAATTGACTACTTTTTTGAAAAACCATGAACTCTTTTCAGTTTCAATGAACTTTTTAAATTTTGATGAACTTTTTTTAAAAATAGATGAACTTTTTTCAAATTTGATGTACTTTTTTCCAAATCAATGAACTTTTTTTCAAATTTGATGAACTTATTTTTTAAGTCAATGAACTTTTTTCAGAAACGATGAACTCTTTTTCGAAATTTGAGTTTTTGTTTTCAAAATTGTTGAACTTTTTAAAATTTTGTGAACTTTTTCTCGAGATGATGAACATTTTTTCAAATTTGATGAACTTATTTTTGAAGTCAATGAACTCTTTTCAAAATCGATGAACTTTTTTCGAAATTTTCGAATTTGTTTTCAAAATCGATGAACTTTTTGAAAATTTATGAACTTTTTCTCGAGATGATGAACTACCTTTCAAATTCGATGAACTTTTTTAAAAGCGATGGACTCTTTTGAATTTCTATGAACCTTTTTCTCAAATTCATACCGGTTTTCGGTATTTTTATAGAATTCTGTTTCGAATTTATACTTTTCTTTTTAAAATAATTTACACTGGATATTTATAATATGTGTTAACTGTAGAAAGGGTCAAATAGGCGTGTTTCCTATTTGTGGTCAACGGAATGATCATGACCAGGTGGTTATGAGGGACTGCTATCAAACCTTGTGCTCGGAGTTCGAACCCCAGCACTCACGAATCGCTGCAGGAGTATGATAGATTTTTTTACTGCCGTATTTGAGAGCAGATTTTTTTTTTTGAGAATCAGTTTTTGAGAGCAGATAGTGAGCGATGTTTTAATTGGGCCGCGGTCCGCTCCTGGGCGCTGTAGGCGCCACTTGTCCAACGGGCGCCTACAGCGCCGACTAGGACCTCCCCGGGATCGATACTCTGTGCGTGCGCCAATTTTTTTGCGCCTTACAAAGCTAAGTTGGGCCGGCCCAGCGCGGACGCCTGCAGGCGCCAGTTTGCAAAATGTACACAAACTGGCGCCTGCAGCGCTAAATAGGAATCGCCAATCGTTTGACCCCTTGTTTGGGTCAGCCGAATTGCTTCTTGGACTCGTTTTTGCCCTTCTGGGTTGTGTTTTTCTTTTATTTTCTCCTTTCCTTTATTGGTTAGTTTTGTTTTTGTAGGTTTTTGGCTGAGTGTAATTATATACATACAAATACTATATAATATGTGCCAAAATTTCATGATTATATGATTATTTTTAGTATTATGATAAAGTGCAATTTCGGTACAAAGTTGTGCGCAAGTTTTTCTTTAAAAAGAATTTTCTCTTCTTAAAAGAAATACCAACGCAACTAATTCATTCTTTTTCAGAAAAATCATTTGATATTGTTTTAGTCATTACTTCATTATCATTCTACTTTAAGGTTAATACCAATGACACTATTTATTTGTTCATAGATTTTTTTTTTGCAAAAGTTCCACTTTTATCTGCTTGCTCTGGCATATTTATAAAATGCGCAATTTTTATGTATATTCGTGCAATTTTTGTCAGCGCTTGTTTTAGATTCTTTTTCCTATTTTATTTGTTCTTAAATGGTAATGCCAATGCCATTAATTTATTCTTTATTTTGTGGGTATTTTTGTTTTATTTTTGTATTTCAATTTTCTGTTTTTATGTGTTTTCCTTTTTTCTTTATGTTTTTTTGGATGTTGAGTGTGTGTAAATATATGCACGCAAGTACTACATGTATACATTATATTAGATTATAAAAATTTCACTACTATACGTTTCTTCTTACATATTATAAAAAGTGCAACTTTTGTTCTAATCGTGACGAAATTTTCGTTTCAAGTTTTTATTTCACTTTCTCTTTATTTGAGTGTTTGACGAAGTTTTGTACTAAAAAGGAGAGGAATTTTCGGGAGTGCAGGATAAACAGGGAAAAGTATATGTACACACATGGTGGACTAGTGCATGCACAAAATAGTTAATCTCTTGATTGAATCTTGTACGTGGTGCATGGTAATTTTGCCTACGTACCTACATGCATGCATGAGGGCGGCAATATGTACAGCGGAAATAGATGCCTCGGTTATACGTGGCGGCCGCAACGACGGACATACAAATAAGCATATGAACACCCGCACATATGATAGATTGATGGTTATATTTTTTAGGTCTAGATGTGCATTCGAAAGTGTCGCGGCTGGTGTAAGACAAGTCGAAGCTGTTACATCAAGCATTGGTGGAGTCCAACAAGCCGGAAGGACTGCAGCCTCATCGTTGTTGGAAGCTGATACAACGCAGCTCCATGGCCAGTATGAAGCAAAGACCCGGCGAGTAAAAGTTAAAAAATGAGATATATCACAAAAGCTATCATTTTATTGATCGATGATACAAAAGTTCACTGGGACGAATCAAACTTTGTTCTGGATGAGCTAAGACAAATTATATTTAACTAAGATAGAATTTATTTGAACTAAGTGCAGCTTTTGCAGAGCAGACCATGATCTCTAGTCCGCTCCCTCACTCGGGAGCTTTGTACGCGAGGACTGTAGCGATCTCCGGAAGTGTTCCCCCGGCGGCCAGGAAGGCAGTCGCCTCAGCACGGTGTCTTTCGTACGACTCGGCCACCTTCGAAGAAGTCCGGATGGCATCCTCGTGAGCTTCAAGATGGCGGGAGCTAGAATTCATCATGTCAGCTAGGACGCCTATGCGCTTTTCAGCCAGTGCCGCCATCTCGGTTTCCTTCTCGCAAAGGGCCTTGTACTCCTCGGCAAGCTGTTGATGTTTGCCGGCAAGTGTCTGATGTTCTTCAGCCAACTTCTTTTGTCTGTTGCAAATGGAGGCAAGGTCGGCAAGGCGTCCCTCTAGGCGCGGTCCTTCCTTCTCGATGCGGGGAAGTCCTTGAGTAATCCCCGCATGAGCTGCATCAAGTTTCTCCAGCAGAGACGACACTTGCGC